TACATGAATTTGTGATATCCTTGTTTGTGTGATATCTTGAAATCCTTGCCATATAGGAAGTTGCTTTTTTTGGCGAAGTTGTTCTGTGGTGGACAAAAGTTTGGAATTTTCTCACTACGCGGCGCTAGTGTACATGAATTTGTGATATCCTTGTTTGTGTCATATCTTGAAATCCTTGCCATCTAGGACGTTGCTTTCTTTTTCGAAGGTGTTCAGTTGATCAAGAACAATATGGATGGAATATGGATATTTTTGGAATCGGGATGACGTCTAAAACCCATAAAAGAGATGAACTAGCCTATGGCTAAAAATCTCTTTAATAAAAAAAAAATCTAAAACCCATAAATCGATTTCTGACGCCATTTTGAAATCCAAGATGGCAGCTTCCGATTTCAGAAAAACGGAAGCCGCCATCTCGGATTTAAAATGGCGTCGGACATTGATATTCGGCATCTAAATGTCATCTAAAAAATCCATATTATTGGATAGTTGACAGTTTTTCTCAAGTAAATGGCCACCATCTTGCATTACAAAATGGCGTCAGACATAAATTGTAGTACTTGTTGCGAAAATACCGATATTGTAGGGTATTTGGCAGTTTTTCCTAATCTGAGAGCCGCCATCTTGGATTTCAGCATTAGTATCGAACATCGTTTTACGGCATCTACACGCATCCTGTACCGAAAATATTCATATAGTAGAATTTCACAGCTTTTCAGAAATCAACGGCCACCATCTTGAATTCCAAAACGACGTCAGACATCAATTTTCGGGATATACACGTCGAACAAGTGCCAAAAATATCCATGTAATAGGGTACTTGACAGTTTTTCTGAAGTCACTGGCCGCCTTTTGGATTTCAAAATGGCGTCGGACATCGACTTGCGGCATCTACATGTCGTCCCCGTTCCGAAAATATCCATATAATAGAAGATTTGATAGTTTTTCTGAAATCAATGGCCACCATATTGGATTCAAAAATGGCGCCAGACCTTGATTTTCGGGATGTACGTGTAGTACTTGCTCCGAAAATACCAAAATTTGATAGTTTTTCTGCTTTTGAGAGCCGCCATCTTGGATTACAAAATGGTGTCTGACATATCTTTTCGGGATGTACACGTAGAACCCGTTCCGTAAATACACCTATTATAGGGTATATGACAGTTTTTTTTCTGAATCTGAGGGCCACCATGTTGGATTACGGCGTCGGACATCGATTTTCGGTCTCTACACGTCGTCCCGATTCCGGAAATACCCATATTGAAGGGTGTTTGATAGTATTTCCCACTTTTTCTGAAATCAGCAGCCACCATCTTTGATTCCAAGAAGGCGCTGGTCAACATTTTCGGTATCTAGACGTCATCCTGATTCCGAAAATATTCATATTGAAGGGTATTTAGCAAAATTTCCCACTTTTTCTGAAACCGGAAGCCGCCATCTTGAAATTCAAAATGCGCTGGACATCGATTTTCGGTCTCTAACGTCATCCGGATTCCGGAAATATCCATATGGAAGGGTATTTAGCAGTATTTCCCACTTTTTATGGAACCGGAAGCCGCCATCTTGGCTCTAGACCTCATCCTGATTCCGGAAATATCCATATTGAAGGGTATTTGGTAGTATTTCCCACTTTTTCTGAAACCGGCAGCTGCCATCTTTGACTTCAAGATGGCGCTGGATATCGATTTTCGGACTCTAGACGTCATCCCAATTCCGAAAATATACATATTCAAGGGTATTTGGCAGTATTTCCTACTTTTTCTGAAACCGGAAGCCGCCATCTTGGCGACGGAAATCAATTAACGGGTTCTAGACGTCATCCCGATTCCGGAAATACCCATATTGTAGGGTATTTGGTAGTATTTCTTTTTCTGAAATCGGCAGCTGCCATCTTGGATTTCAAAATGGCGTCGGAAATCGATTTACGGGTTTTAGGCGTCATCCTGATTCCGGAAATACTTTTTCTGAAATCGTCAGCCGCCATCTTTGATTTCAAGATGGCACTGGACACCGATTTCCGGTCTCTAGACGTCATCCCGATTCCGAAAATATAAATATTGAAGGGTATTTGGTAGTATTTCCCACTTTTCTGAAACCGGAAGCCGCCATCTTGGGTTTCAAATGGCGTCGAAAATCGATGTACGGGTTTTAGACGTTATTCTGATTCCATAAATATCCACATTCCATCCATATTGGTCTTGATCCACCGAACAACTTCGCCCAAGAAAGCAACTTCCTAGATGGCAAGGATTTCAAGATATCACACAAACAAGGATAGCACAAATTCATGTACACTAGCACCGCGTAGCGACAAAATTCTAAACTTCTGTCCACCAAGGATAAGATCTTGATCCACTGAACAACTTCGCCGAAAAAGCAACTTCCTAGATTACAGGGATTTCAGGATATCACAAAAACAAGAGCATCATTAATTCATGCACACTAGCGCCACATAGTGAGAAAATTCCGAACTTCTGCCCACCAACGATAAGCTCTTGATCCACTGAACAACGTTCCCGAAGATAGTAACCTTCCATATTTCCAGGATCGCGAGATATTCCATGTTGGTCCCCATTAGGTCAAATCCCATATGCTACGTGTACTCCATTTACGCGAATCCCTCGCGTAAACGGAATCATTCGAGGCCAACGTAAATGGAATTCGTGTAGACCGAGTTCGCGTTCTTCGGAGAAGAGTGTAATCAATATTCGTTAGTTCAATTTTCAACAAGACGTTAACAGCAGAACATGAGGTAAAGCTGCATTCATTTCAAAAACTGACAGCTCAATATGACTCATTTCGCGAAAATTAAAATCAAGATGAGTTTTCATTGTGATAGAAACTGCAAACTTTAATATCGATTCGCTTTCATTTTATTCACCGACATTGCTCCGGTTGTAAAGCAATCCGTTCATCCATCGGACAGTTAAACATGGGACTTTGCGATGGCTGTTACACAATGGTGAATAGTAATACCTTCAGTTAAAGAGACTGAATTGGGTAAAGAGGCGACATCTTATCCAATTGACAGATCTTCTGCTCGATTGGAATAACTTTCCTATGGCTTTGACAGACCGATTTCCATTTGTGTAATTTTGACATGTCGTCTCATTATAAATTCAGCAATCATGTGTACACAGTGTCCACCATGTTCCAAATCAATTCAGAATTTTCGCGTCACCTTTAAAATAAACCAATCTACATTGATCGATTCTCTTCATTGACTCTCTCTTTCATTAATAACTCGGGTCCAAACACATGTTCAGCTGTTCTTATGGTCTAATACGCTTAATAATACTTTCTTTTAATAGAGTGTGTACAAATTAGCCCAAAATATCAATGCAGCCAAGTTATTATTGAAACAGAGAGTCGATGAAGAGAATCGGTCAATGTAGATTGGTCTGTTTGAAAAGTAACACGAGAATTCTTCTTGGGATTCGTCGGAATCGAGATACACTAAAATCCTATCGACATTTTTCGGAATCCTATCCTATTTCTTGTTTTTTTTTTACATCTGCGATTCACTAATTTACTCCTTGATATTCGTTGTAATCCTTCTTGACATTCATCAGAATCCCTGTAGAAAATAGTGCCGCAATACCTGTTGAGACTCTCCAAAATCGCCTTTGGGGTTGACTGGAATTCTTCTTGAAATTCACCGGAATTCCTTTTGGGATTCTCTGGAGCACCTTTTGAGTAAATTCCATATCTCTAGAAAACCATCAAATTTCCTTTTGGCATTCGCCGGATACCCATTAGAGGTTAACAGTTTTTATCATTCCTCCATCTTTCGCACCACAGATGCAGAATAGATCGAGTTTTTAAAATAAAGAAATCTAAAGAAACGCCATTCTACAGTTCAAAATCATTTGCAGGACATTCACCCAACGGGTACGGGTAGAGCATTCATAGCGATACAATCATAGTCAAAACCAAACCAAAGATTACGGGATTCAACCACCAAGTTTTTATTAGCAGATGTGCACTTTTAATGTGCTGAGCTAGATTAAATCAAACCAATTTTACGATACGACGCAAACTCCATTAACCACTGCGTTTAGCTTTGCAGTGCAAACCATCCGATCGAACAACGATCTTTTCCATCAGGCTAAGTTGTATACAATGAACGCAACACCTTTCACGAAGCACCTCCTTCACGCATTTGTTTGGAGACTGTCATCAATTTACGCATTATATCTGTGATATTTTCGCGATCATCTACGATGGGTAACCAAAATCTAACGTTAAATTTTATCATCGAACAATCGACAACTTAACCTTACACCGTAAATCCTTCTTCTAGAACAATCCGCTCGTTAGTGAACGACGAATGAAGAAAGAAAGAAAATCGAAACAGAAACTTTCCAATTTTTATAAAACGGCAAACTAGTGCATCAAAAAGAGCAAGAAACGATACAAACAAATAATCAAACCTTTACCAATCAATCACACGAACAACAAGATATGAAAATGAAATCAAGCGAAAACATAAATTCTAAACACTATTTTTCGAGCAAAGTAACACTATTGACTTAAAGAAGATGAAGAATAATAAAACAAAATGGAGTTTAAACTGAAAGCAAGTTGAAACAAGCATAAACTCTATCGTTAACTAGGTCATAATGAAGAGTATAAACTTAAAGTTTAGAGAGCAAACATACAAACTTACACACTGAACCAAACCAAAAGCAACCCAACGTTCCAAAACACCATTTTGGAATCAAAGCAAAACTTACCTGTGTGGGTCAAAGGAAAAATATTCCCCTAAATCCTTTCCTAATTCTAACCAACATTTTGCAGTGCAGGAGGAGAAAACAAATACGACTTTTAACATTGATTGTCAGTCCCCCGTTTATGTTCCCCGAATAAAGGCAAACCAATCTCTAGGAAGCACACTAGACATGTTGTTTTGATGTCCACAAACAGTGCTCGATGACAGTTCCTCGGAGATTTTCGGATACCAATGATTCCAGTACCAGCAGATGCAACAAAATAGTGTATATTAAACGGAACACTTATGGAGCCAAGCGATCGTAGAACCATCCTCCTTCACCCTGGTGCAGCAGTTCCCCATCAGCCGTTTCACCTTCTCTGAGCGACCTCCGGAATCGGATCCGATCGTGCAGCCGATTGGTTTGACCCTGCCAGAACTCGACCATCCTCGGGCGCACCAGATAGCCACCCCAGTTGGGCAGTGGTACGGCTCCGTCCGGTCCCAGTTGATCCTTGATGTCCTGCTCCTTCCGGTCCAGATAGTCACGCGTCGGGATCGGCTGACTTTGCGGACTCGCCAGGGCACCGATCTGACTGGCACGGGGCCGCTGGTGGAAGTACGTTTCCGACTCGGACCGGGAGATTTTCTCCACCGATCCTTCGATCCGGACCGACCGTCTCAGCGGTAGCCAGTAGAACGTTAGGGCAACGTTCGGATTTTCGGCCTGCGGTGGGTATAAACATTTTGGTTAGAGAAGTTCCACTGCAGTTTTGTTTTATGTGTGATGTCATTAGGCCGAGCGCCACTTTGGCAAATTGAATGAGTCTTGGCCATTTCAAAATCATTTCATCTGCACCCAACTTAGCTGAAAATGATGACGATTTTAGCAGATACATTAACTACCTGCATTAAATTGAATTTTATCAAAATTATAGATACTATAGATTCCATAGATAAGCGGAGGCACAAAAAGTTGTTTTGGCAACTCTGAAAAACAAATGATCTTACTGGCATCCGTGTAAAAAGTTACTGCCATCATATCGTTGGGAAGTTTTGTTTTGTTTCGTGCGGAAAAGTTCAAAATGAAGTGCAAAGCAAATCTTTGCAACAATGAACCGAGGAATGGTTTGCTTTATCTTTCGTTCTTCCATTGTCCGCGAAATAAATTGGAATGTGGAGTGTGGAAAGCGTTTTGTGCTCATAATATTACAATACTTCTCCCTCAAAAAACACCATGATGACACTCAGGCAAGTTGACTGGCGAAATTCATAAAATTTGCCTTATGATGCCTTAATTTTTTCCTAAAACATGATTCCATAAGTCTGTTATGGGTTTCATATGGTTTGAATGACTTTCATAAGTGAAAAGGAAGAAATCTTTATGAAATACATATAATTTTCATTGGGGCGCATTATGATTTTCTTTCCTGTAACCAGTGCGAAAAAATCATAAAATTAATCTTATGAAAAAAAAAGTATGGCGAACATTGTGTTGGACGAATTAAGGCTGATCGCAGATTTTCTTGCAGAAGCACCCGCAATTTGCTTGGATATTTTTAAAGGTAATGTTTAATAAAATAAATAAACAATTTACTTATTGCAAAATAAAATTTAATTGCAGGTGCTGGTGACGTATAGTGAGAGCGAGTTGAGTGCAGCCATCAGGGCTGGCCCTGATCCGACGCTCGAAATCGATCAATTATGGTCCTGGATAGAAGATTGGCGTAAAAGGAACGTAAGTATTCTATAATAGTATTAATATGCTATCCTAATTAATCAAAATAAGATTTTTTATTTGATATATTTCAGGGTTTGGTTAATCTCACAATTATAAATAACGAGCTATCCGCACAAGCGGTTTCATATTCTGGAAACTGTGCCTTGGAAGACAGACAGGCGGAAGCAAGGCCGGATGCATATTTTGAACCTGAAAAATATTTCAGTCATTCCCTCACAGCAAATAACATTGGCGGTTATCCAGTCGCAGAGGAGGAGGTCCGTCTGAAGAAGGTTTGGCCTGTATACGATTAGCATTTGTCATCGTCACAAACATGTTTTAAAATGTATCAAGAATTTATTGAAATGGCCAGAATAAAATTTATAAATTACTTTCAATGAAAAGCTAAATGGGAAATAATGCATTTTATTATAATAAATAACGGGTTCCATATTTGCGATGGATCAAATTCTATAAAGCTGATTGTAAATTTTCATAATGCTGCCTTATGAAAAAGGTATGATATCTGTTTGATGAAATTCAGTTAAATTCATAAGGCAAACTAATGAAATGCTTACCGATTTCTTTTGGCAAATAAACATAAGGCAAACGATGAATCTCGCTAGATTTTTTACCTCAGTGGACGTCATACTCGTTTGGCTACACTAACTGACAGTTCGTTTGGCTACATTATACTTTGCCTCCGCTTATCTATGGAATCTATAGTATCTATATGTAGACATAACAACATTCTCTTGATCAAGGCAACCTCTGAGTATCGAAGTCAACATTTCTATATAGAGCAGGAATTAGGGCGTAACAGATTTTGTAAACAATGACTTCTTTCGATGATTTCTAGAAAGCTAAGGTTCGCAAACGCAAATCAACAACACCATCGGGTAGGGAAAGACTTCCCTTACCCGACTGTTTTGTTGGTTTGTGTGGGCGTGCCTTGAGTTCCTAGAAATCATCGATAGAAGTTGTTCGGATTTGCAACTAACACTACGCGGTGAAACCAACAATCAATACGAAACTAACGATTTTAAATTGGCTCACCACTTTAGTAGCCTATTGGTCCCAAGCAAACGATTAACGTACCCTATTCTAGTTGAAATTCTATTACTACACTATGTTTGTTTTGATTCGCTATGAAAGTTTGACAGATAACATCAGGGGTGTGTGGATTCAAGCAGAACATGCAGGGGTGAGTGAAATAGCTTGGGACTGCTTGGGACCGTTGTTCTGGTACTGAGTGAGCCAAAAATAATAATGATTTTCTTCGGGACCCAGTGGTCTTAGAGTTACCTCTATGGTGAAACTGGGGGGTTTGAAAACGGTCACTTGACTTTTTATTGCTCGCCTGTTATTTTGTAAGGATAACACGGTAGATGCGTTCGATTTGAAAGTATATTGTTGACTGACTGTATTGATTTCTGGCTATCTTGTATATCTATACGATCAGTATCAGAGAGAGTGTGTAGAGAACCGAAGGAACACGATTTAAATAGGCCTTTTGGCTCATCTGCGATACCTACTCTAGCTGATAAGGTTTATAAGCAACGAAAGTGTTGCATTGGAGAAAAAGAGAAAAATCTATTCTAGCTGAATAATTTCAATAGGGTTCACTATCCTAGTTCTTCAACAGAAGTCATTGTTTACAAAGGCTGTTACGCCCTAATTCCAGCTCTATCTAGATTTTAATTTCTTCATTTGTGGCTGAGTGTTCATTATCACCTCTGTTGTTCTCAATAATTCGACAGTGAGCATGCATAAGGGCGTAAACACGATGATCGTTTCTCTTCGTCGATTTTCTCTTTTGTTAATAACTCGTTAGATTTAACGTTTCTCGGTGCGTTTGCTGTTGCATTTGATAGTCAATACAACCTGTTGCAGCACTACATTGAACAAATTCCAGAAAATTGTTTCGCTTAGCTGTAGCAATGTAAAGAGAAAATCGATGAAGAGAATCGATCATCGCGTTTACACCCTTATGCATGCTCACTGTCAAATTGTATTCGGTATCATTTTGGTAGAGATGATTTTGAGTCTGTCTCTATTAATTCCAAAGAGTGAAGAGGGTCTGGTAAAATGCTACTGCTTATATCTGAATTTTACGCTGCGCAAGTAAAAACTAGTCTGCCATTTTTCTTGTGCGTTTAGGTTGATTTCTAGTTGCATGATCTATCAATCTTCTTATTGCAATCTTATTTCAATTCTAAAATCTTGTAAATGTATGGTGATAGTAGTGTTTGGTGGGTTATGCTTGATAATTAGTTATTTGTTTTTTTTTTTCGTTTTCCACAGTAACAAAAACGGATTGCTGTATTTTATGCTGGTCATGCTGCGCCCGGACCGATAGAAAACGTTTCTAGCTTGAATATATGGCCCTATTTTGTAGTTATGACCAGAAATGACGCTTTACTTGACTTCCATAATAATATTCTCTGAAAATTTATTGAGGAATGCTTCTTATATTATTTTACATTATTATTAGTTCCTAATATAAAGTCTCCTAATTTTGACTGATATTGACTTGGATTAATTCCAAAGTTACCCATGTCTGGCAATAAAATTTTATCCTAACTAAATTACACAATCGTTGAAAATTCCGCGATGATGGTTTGAAATTTAACATGACTCAAAAAGTTGCATGTAATTTTCTGAACACGTGTAAAATTATGCTAAGGGTGCGTTAATTTTATGTGCGCTAGATTTAGCGTTAATTTACATGTTTTTTTTTCGAACTGTGAAGAAATTCATGGAGCTTTTTCGAATTAAGATCTCTGACAAACTGCAACGAAGTTCCCTATACTGAAGTGACGATCCTTGAAATTCCAAGAAGTTTATTGAACTATCTTTAGATCTTCTACAAAATTCTGTGAACTTTTTAAAAATGCCTCACACTTATATGAAGTTTCACGCAGCTCCTCAAAATGCAACAAAATTCGCAGAATTTCTACAAAGTTTGCTATACTTCTACGTTTCTCGACGATTTCCGCGAAGTTCTACGAACGAAATTTCTTGAATTTGTACGTAATTTGCACCACTATTTCAAGACTATGAGGCCTCAAAAAAGTGCCCTGAAATTATATAGAGGTTCTCAATCAATAATGAGCTTCCCTGAAATAAAATAATGATCCCTTAACTTCTACGAAGCTCCTCAAACTCAAATAAATTTTGCACTTCTACGCAGTTTTCAGAACTTTTCCAAATTCCTTGTTTTTCTGTAGATCGATCTATGAAGTTCCCAAAATTTCTAATAAGTTTCCTCAATTTATACGATGTTTCCTGAACTTCTTAGAATTCTTTGAAGTATTAGGAAGTTCTCAGTAGTTAATGAAAAATCCCTGGGCTCATTACCAATTTGCCCCCTTGGCACCCCCAGTAGTTACGCCAATGCACCTGACGCACACGGTACTTACAATTTCATCTGCTTTGCGGCTTTCGTAGTTGGTGAAGAAGGTAAAGCCCTGATCGGTGATGTCTTTCAACAGTACAAATCTAGCCGATGGGATTGCATCTCTGGAAAAGATAAACAAGCATCAGTGCAAAAGACTATTCTTATCAGTCGTATTATGTACATTGTTCACTTTGGTACCTGCTAGCTATAGTCGGTTAGTAATATGTATATCGAATTCAAATTTTGAATAAAATTAATCATGTATCAGTAAGTTAATGCTGAACATGGTAACCTTCTTAATATTCAACCAAATGTCATATGATTTTAAGCGATAACAAGTTGAAAACTTACTTTGTTGCCGTTGCCAGGCACATTGCATTCGGTTCTATGATCTCCGGTGTATTGCAAGCCTCGTCGAACCATTTTCGGAACAGACTAAACGGTTCCTTCACTTCGATGCTGGATTCGTGAAAGATGTCCTTCTTCTCCTTGTACTTGATTCGTAGAGCTTCAATTGCAACATTATAATTAATCAATTTCTGTCATGTAAAACCATTCGATTACAACCAGTAGCACTCACCAGCTATATCAACCGTAGACATCCTGCGAGCAATATTTAGTATCATTCAGATAGCACCGGCAATTGAAAACTAAACACAACTGAAAAAAAGATACGGCAATCCACGTAGGGAATTCAAAGATAAGCAGTCGTAGAATGACATTTCTTATTGGAAAACAGTTTGCACGGGCCACGGATGACAACTACTGTGCATCGAATGCGTTCCCCTTCCAAACATATGTCAAACGGTTGTGCAACATTCGAACAGTTTTGTCGTTGGTTGTAAGCTTGCATGCAAGTCACATGTTGAATGTTGTTAAGGTGATGCGGTTTGGAAGCCTTTGCTCTGACTACTTTGCTTTTTCTGAAGTATGAAGATCAGTCACCAGAACTACATCAAAATTGCTTTCCCATGTTTGCAAATATGGAGAAGCAAATTCAGTGCTTGAAATCGCAATGGTGTTCGAGCACAATGGTGGCAATGGTGGCGCTAGCACTACACCAAAGTGCGCTTGCCGGACTAGCGACTTCCGAAGTAATTAGCTTGATTTTCAGTCGTATGTACAATACTACCTTGAAAATTTGAAGTGGTAGGGCAAATCATTCGGTGCCGGTGATTTGTGGAAGCAGTATCGTATCACCTTAAGGACAATATTCAGTGAAGCCTCATCTGCTCCAACGCTCCAGAAGGTGTGAATTTTCGCGTAACTTTTCGAAAAGGTCCTAAGCAACAAATGTAAACAAATCGAGTTAATATATACAAACTATTGCCCTTCTATCATTGGTCGTGGCAAAGGTGGCAAAGGATTTGGTTAAGGAGTCGTCAAGTGTCATCGTGTGATAACATCCAGGGCCTGCCATTCGTCGTCTGGCTCGATGTGGTGGTGTCAAGCAGGCATGGCAAATCATTTACATTCATTTCGTGCATTCATTTAAATTCATTTGCCCCTAACTTTTTTCATCAACAGAATTCCATGGAATGATCTATTAAGCTTTTGTAGGTTTTGATATTAGCTATAACCTTTTTGAATAACTCAAATCTGTATATCTTATGCATGATGAACCGGGGCGAACAGAACTTACCTATGTTTTACAGTGAATGTAAATTACATTCACTGAAAAATAGTAACAAGTTCTGCCCGCTCTAGTTCGTCATGCATAAGAGATACAGATTTGAGCTATCGACAAAAGTTGTAGTTAATATCAAAACCTACGTCCAACTAAAATTCATATCAAAAGGTTCTTTTCAGGGCAATCATAGTCATACTAAAGAGTATAAACAGAGAGAACCCCGATAAAATTCCTATTCCTACACAAAACACAAGCTCCTGCTGCAGTTAACAAAAATATTTATTATATCATACCACGTAGTCCTACGTCATCATTTTTTATTCATGAAAATGGAATCGTATTTGATTCCGTGCAGAGGGGCGTTAAGCCTCCCAATGATAAAGTTAGAAAGCGTCATTACCAGGCGTCTTCTGGCTCACCTTCGGTTGTCTACTTTCGGCAGAAAGAGAAAGCCCTAAACTTCTTAGGGATTAAAAGAACGTTGACGCGTCGTTTCCCGGGGACCGAATTTCATCAGGTCAATCGGAACAAACTGCGTATAACCATAGAGGTAACTTTAAGACCAGAAGGTCCCGAAGAATCGTGCTCAACTTTTTTGCTCAGCTCTGGTACTATCTTCGGTCCCAAGCTAATCGATACACCCCTTGAAACATAGGAAAATCCACGAACCCCTCATTTTATCTGTCAAACTTTCATAGAGAATCAAAACAAACATTGTGTAGTACTAGAATTCCGTCAAGAATGGGGTACGTTAATCGATTTTCTTGGGACCAATGGGCTAGTCAAATATTGAGCCAAGATAAAACCGTTAGTTTCCACTGGTTGGTATAACTGCGCCTACATATAAAATCGCAAATGATATTGCTGACGACGAGGGTTATAAAGATTAGTATTACGTCTACATCCCATCTCGAGTGTGATGACGTCATGGAAGATATAGGGTGCCTTCAAAATGCTGCTACATATACCGTGGACGTTCTGGGTTGCAGGATATTGTATTCAGTGACCACGGTAGATGGTCAAAAGACTTATTCTCTTTCAGGCTCACTACAGGTGTCTTTCGCTGGATCGGTTCTCCCAAAGTTTTTAGAAATCGAAAATGTTTTTTTTTCCGGTGCGAATTTTTGTACCAAGGGTATATAATTGTACCAACTGCAAAGAATTGGGACACACAGCTGCCTTTTGTGACAACAAGCCCCGTTGTGGCAAATGTAGCCAAGACCACATGGAGGGTGTTTGCCAACCGGAAGCAACTAAATGTGCTTACTGTGGCAAAGAACCTCTTCATGCTTTGCAGGACTGCCCCGCGTACAAGAAGCGTACCAACAATGTGAAGCGTTCAATAAAAGAACGCTCCAAGCTGACGTTTGCAGAAATGGTTAAGTTGCAAAATGGATCCTCTGTTTCGTTGGCATCAGCCGCTCAAAATGAAAACACTTTTGAGATTTTGTCTTCCGATGAACTGGACTCTGACATAGCAGATGAGAGTGAGTCTCCGGAGGTACACGCCCCCGGTAAAAGGAAGCCGACTAGCTCCCCGGGAGTGCGCCGGAAAAAAAAAAATAAAACCACTCTCAAAAGCATGCAAAAATCTGAAGGTAGCGGGGATTCATTGACAAAGCCGAAGAAATCGGTAATTGCTGCTCCATCTGATCCTTGCTGCAGCTCTGGAATTCCGCGGATTTCCTGCGTCATAGATAAATCAAAATTCACTGAATTGCCGAAATCGGAGAAGATTACACGATTGCGAATATTTCTTGAAGGGCTGACATCCTGTGTTAAATATAGGTAGTACAAAGTCATAAAACATGTTTGAGGATTTAGCTCCAGAAGCTTCTCAAAGTTTTCGATCACCAGTGGGTTCATTACTTCGCAACGGGTGAGGAGCCTCAGAGATAACTCTGAAAAACGGACGGATAGTGGCAACATGCCCGCCAGCACTTCGAGACTCATAGTATGAGTCGAGTGCATGCATCCTAACGCGATACGAAGACAACGATACTGGATCCGTTCCAGCTTGATGATGTGGGTTTTAGCTGCCGACTGGAAACAAAAACTACCATATTCTAGAACCGATAAAATCGTTGTCCGGTACAACGTCAGAAGATCTTGTGGATGAGCTCCCCACCACGTTCCGGTAATTGTTCGGAGAAAATTGATCCTTTGTTGGCATTTTCGTCTCAGATACTCAATGTGGGATCTCCAGGTGCATTTGGAATCGAACCAGACCCCGAGATATTTAAAAGACATGGAATGAGTGATCGGTTTACCCAAAAGTTGAAGCTTCGGTTGTGCTGGGCTATGCTTCCTAGAAAAAACGACCAACTCAGTTTTCTCCGTGGAGAATTCGATACCCAGCTGAATAGCCCAAGTAGACAAATTGTCCAAGGTATCCTGTAAGGGTCCTTGCAGGTCAACCTCTTTTGGCCCTGTGATAGACACTACGCCGTCATCTGCAAGTTGTCTCAACGTGCAATTGTCATTAAGACAATTGTCAATTTCTCTAACGTAGAAATTGTACAAAAGGGGGCTTAAACATGAGCCTTGGGGGAGACCCATGTAGCTAAATCGAAAAGCTGTAGAGTTTCCATGAGAAAAGCTCATATGTTTTTCTGACAGCAAATTGTACAAAAAATTATTCATTAATGGAGACAATCCACAAGCGTGGAGTTTCTCTGAAAGAACTTCAACGGATACTGAATCAAAAGCCCCCTTGATATCCAAGAACACAGAAGCCATTTGCTCTTTCTTAGCAAAAGCTAACTGAATTTCCGAGGAAAGCAACGCGAGACAGTCGTTCGTTCCCTTACCCCTACGGAAACCAAATTGAGTATCTGAAAGAAGGTGGTTCGTCTCAACCCATTTGTCGAGGCGAAAAAGGGGATCTTTTTTTTCCATCAATTTCCGAATACATGACAGCATCGCGATGGGCCGATACGAATTGTGATCCGACGCGGGTTTATCAGGCTTTTTAATGGCTATCACCCTTACTCGTCTCCAATCGTCGGGAACAATATTGAGCTCCAAGAACTGATTGTACAAGTTCAACATGCGCCTCTTAGCGACGTCTGGGAGGTTTTTCAGCAAGTTGAACTTGATTCTATCAGATCCCGGGGCAGAATTGCCACACGAAAGGAGAGCGAGTGAAAGTTCCACCATTGAAAAAGGCTGACTGATTTCGTCTACCGAATTCGCGGTTTCGCGAGGAATCAACTGCGACGGCACGGAATCCGGACACACTTTTCGCGCGAATTTAAGAATCCATTGATCCGAGCATTCCTCGCTTTCGTTGTTAGTAGACCGGTTACGCATTCTTCGCGCCGTACTCCAAAGCGTATTCATAGACGTTTCGCGCGACAATCCGTCTACAAACTGCCGCCAGTAACCCCGTTTTTTGGCCTTGATGAGGCTCTTGAGTTCGCGTTCAAGAGATGTGTATGCGTCGAAATGCTCGCGTGTTCCGCGTTTCCGAAAAAGTTTAAACGCGTCGGACTTTTTACGGTAAACCTCCGTGCATTGTTGATCCCACCAGAGCGATGGTGTTTTCTTACGAATAGACGATCGCGGCACCGGTCGTGTTTGAGCTTGAAGTGCGCTGTCGACGATGAGATTAGAGAGGAAATTATATTCCTCCAACGGCGGAAGCTCTTCCACTGACGATGTTGTATCGTCTATCGCGGATTGGAACTTAGTCCAATCGATGTTACGGGTTAGATCATACGCGACGTTAACGGATTCTGACGAGTTGAACCCACTGGCAATCGAAATTTTGATCGGCAGATGATCACTACCGTGCGGATCCTGGATTACATGCCAAGTGCAATCCAACGATAGTGAATTAGAGCAAAAGGTGAGGTCTAATCTGCTACCATTCGAGGATGGACCAGCCAAACGTGTTACTTCTCCATTGTTAAGTATTGTCATGTTGAAGTTGTCGCAGAGATCATAAATCAAAGTAGAACGGTTATCATCGTACAGCTCCCCCCAGCCTGTACCGTGGGAGTTAAAATCTCCCATGATCAACCATGGAGCGGGAAGTATCGCACATATGTCGAAAAGTTGTTTG